TTGCGCCTTCTTAGGAGATCGCCGTTCTCTTAAATCAGTGGTCTCCGCAGCAGTCCAAGGGAGATAACTGAGTGTCAATAAATCTTTTCAATTTAATCTCCCAATACCTAAAAAGAATTTGGCACATTGCTTTCAATAATGAACCATTTTTAAAGGTTAAAACAACATAAACTTTCTTTTATTACCACTTGTACTATTGGGTTTAATCCGTATCTAGTATTAAATTTTGTTTTTCGGTTACTTTCACAGTTGCACTTCGTAAGCTACAATACAAAATATGCCAACATTTTGCAAGCACTTGAAAAAGAAGATGGTCTCGCCGTCCTTGGTATCTTCATACAGGTACATAAGATGAAGTTTTACTGATACTAAAGTTGACTGCGGGAAGCCTGGGCTGAAATTTGCGAAATTTTAAGAATAAATCTCAGGCTGAGATTTTGAAAAGGAAATAATATGTGGGTTGAAAATCTGTAAATACAATTAAATTCTATGTTTTTAACTTATTCCTTTCTCTAAACGACAAGTTCTTGTTTGATTTATTTCATATGCATCTATCACAAAACGAAAAAACCTGTACCTACTATAACTGACACCCCAATATATCATCGGCCGAAAACGGAAATAAGCCATAAGCGATACAATTTAAGAATAATAATAGAATATTTTCAGCCTAAAATCGGCAGAAAAATTAGAATATTCAGGCTGGACAGAAAAAAACAACATTATTATAACAAAAGAAATCTACCTTTCTCTTAAAATCTCAGCGAAATCGCCAACTCCTCAAGTGCTTTCTTTTCGTTTCTGCTCACGATTGATTAACTGAAGACAATACAAATACAAATTTTTCTTTTGTGTATTGGACAATCCTTCTTGGGAAATTAACTAAGCTAATCAGTGTGAATTTCTTTTAACTTCACTGTTAATATATTTTTTTCAGGTCGGAGGGAACAATAACTCTGCATTTTCCTTCTTGGAAACTACCCGGAATCTCACTTCTAGTTGTAAGTGATGTGTTCTCCGTATTATATATATGAGGCTTTTTCCATAACATGAAAAACTGCACCCCAACAGAATGACGTGAATTAAATATATTATTATTATCATTGTTATTGTTATAATAATAATAATAATAATAATAATAATAATAAAAATAATAACAATAATAATAATTAATAATCATTGTTATTATCCTGTAATTAATATGAAAATTATAACTGGGAATATCACATCTTACAGAGTATACCCCATAATATATCATTTCATGTTATAATAAGAATGCACGTTTTTGTCTCTTTCTTTAGACTCTTCCGTCAGTGGCGTCCCAGCTTTTAGATTTGAAAGCGTGTTACCTGCCAATAAGACCAAGTACTTCCGGTATAGTGGTTCTCTAACCACTCCCTCTTGCAAAGAGAGTGTCACGTGGACTGTTTTTAGGGACGCTGTCAACGTATCGCAGTATCAGGTACAGTATTGACTTGATAGCAAGTGTTGTACGGTGTTTTTCTGTATTTGCCACAAACGCTTTTGTCAAAAGAAAGCCTCTTTTTTGTGAACATAGAGAATGCCTCATGAGCAGGGTATTTTTTAACTATGGGTCTCTTTTTCCCAGATGAACCTTCTGCGGCAACTCCAGAAGACTTACACCACATTAAGTGTTGGAAATTACCGTCCCGTTCAACCACTCTACAACCGAACCGTGAGGGCTAGTTTCCAGGTCGCCGAGATGTCAAACAACTCAATGCTAAGGACCACTGCTAGTACCACTGATGTGAAGGGTACCACCGCTACCACCATAACTCCCCCAAAGGGTACGCAGTCTCCTATCTCTTCTACTGGTATTGCTACTAAGGGTGCAGAGAAATCATCCTCAGCTTCAACCACCAAGAACACTCCTAGTAACAAAGTGCCTGGCACTGACACACCCTCTTCTACTGTTATTGCTACCACGGGTGCGGAGGAATCACCCCCAGCTCCAACTGTCGAATTTGACCTGGGCTCATCTGCTGTTCGAATCACCGCTGGACTTTCGATGCTGTTTGCTGCCCTGGCAGCTCTTTTTGTGCAGCATTAGAACGAGGGCATATGAACTCTGATGTAGTTTCTAATCTATTAGTCTTGTAGCAGAGTCATGTATGAAATGACATTCCAAGACTAGTCAGAAGTTAGGGTTACTGCTGCCTCGGAAACCGTAGAAAACTGACAGGAATCTCTAACCTGTGAAAACGCTCTGTTTTTGTTTAATCCGCACCTTGTCATTTTTTGCACTTGATCAGAGGCATTAGTTCGGAGTGGGCCCCTACGCAAGGGTTTTTTGGTATATTCTACTCCTCACTAGCAGTTTAGTCTTAGGCATCCTCATCATCCTTTGACCACACAGGCAAACATATTACTTCTATATGCATCTTCCTCCCTATCACCATTGCAGTCTTCCTACTTTTTTTTCTTTGGATTGTCTGCAGTCGTCTTTTTGTGATAGAGATGGTTAAATCAGTATCCCACCCCCTTTCTCCCATAAAACGGAAAAGTCTCGGGGTTCACCCTTCTACCAACCCTGAATGATTAGCGGGATAGCTCCTAAGATAAATGAAAACTTAGACAGAAACCCACTCCACGACAACAAGGCAACTGCTCTTAGGTAAAGAATTTTCCGTCTGCTGTCGGAAATATTCTGGCAGGAAAGGCCAACAACACTTTGGCAAACGACCCACTTGAAAACGTTGCTAAAATTTGCGGAATTACAGGTTACAAATTCCTGCGTCCAGTGATTGGGAAAACACGTAGGTTTGACTGATGCTCAACCAATCAGAAGCAAATTAAACTCAACGCGCTTTTTTGAATGCGTCGCTCGGCGCTTGATATAGGCTGCAAGGTTTTATTGCGAGTTCTGATGGATTTTCAGTTTATTCGTGCGTTAGTTGAGTTGGTGGGAGAAAAAGCCATATACGAGAAAAAATGTAAAAAAAAGAAAAAGGGAAAAACGCAAAATAAAACCCAAAGGATTCACTTTAAACTGATATTTGCATAAGCACCGCCATTTCATGTATTGTATTTTAAAAACTGGGCAAAGAAATAAAGACGCTTCATTTAAAAAAAACATGCCAACTCTGTCAATTTCAATTGTAGTTAATGGTTAGCAAGGAAATGGATAAAGCGCTTTACTTTAAAGGGCTAGGTCACACTGCACTGTTTAGGCAATTTCACCGTGCTAACGTATGATCGACTGAAATGTAGAAGTGCTCATGCTCCAACCAGGTTAGATCATTTTCACTCACGTGATCACCAGCTAGACAAATTACTTGGAACAAAGGAAAGTTTGCACATGAGAGTTCAATCCCCATGGGGTTTTTTTGGTACATAAAGATGGCCGCCGTTTGATTGTTTTGTATTGTGGCTGGCGTGACGTCAAAAATGGTTACGAATGCGCAAAATGGAAAGATTTATAAAGACTGCGTTTAGGCAAACTTGTTACAATTCTTATCAAGGTGTGACTTACAATGCACAGGAATCATCCACATTTATTGTTTGAGGTGAATTAATTTCGATACAACTGAAGTCGGTAGTTTCGATACAAACCTAAAGTGAATGTAATGTTGAATGGCCCTGTAGGTGCTCACTTCCACTTTTCATGCAGTTTTATTTCTGATCGATTTCAACATATTTTGTCGTTTTCACTCAAAATTTACGTGCACTTTTTCTTATCCCAGTCGGTTGATATTTGGCTGATTAGATTGCTTCGACTGTTTATATAGGGATAATATAATGGCAGACAATGAACTCGTGAGGTGACTAAGGGTGTAGGGTTGCGTGGGACAAGAAAGGAAAAAACACAAGAATTACAGGAAATTTCCAAATTGTATGCTTTTATTACCTCTTTCGTGCTATAATTATTTCACACTCAGTCAGCAGAGCGTTGATTATGCATGCTCGACTATACCACACGGCCTTACGGGCTCAAATAAACCTCTCTTAACGCTTTTGGCCAACCCAAGTTGGTCGTCAGCACCAATGATTGTGGGCAGTGCTCTTCTCGCCAAACAAGGTAATGGGGCGCCATAATATTATAAGCATAAACAGTCCAAGAGATTACTCCTCGGTGCGATGGACTACAGTGCCGCTATATACGTTTGTAAAAGGAATAGCCGGTCAGAGATCTAAGAATAACCTCTCAATGAGGGATGTGGTATTCAAACTCATAATCTGTCACCAACTGACTGAGTGCTTAATAATTGAAAGTAAATAAAAAGTGCTTGAAAGCAAAATATATTTCTTTAAGTTTCGTTCTAAATAAGTACTAAAGGAACAAAAACTTAACAGCCAGCGAAGTGCAATCTATAACTACTAAGCTCCTAGAATTTTTATTGGAAGTCACACAGTAACCGGAAGTTAGTAAATAATGGGCAGGGGATGAGGATCTCCCTTATGTAAAATTTATGAAAATAAACCGCCAAAGAAGATATCACTGACAATCAGCTCAGGGATGTCTGATAGAAATTAAACGCAGTTTTGTTTTAGAATACGTTAGGGTAGTTTTCGGACTTATATGGTTAGAAATATAATGTCCTTTAGCAAGAGAGGATGGAGGCCAGTAGCTAGAAGAACAGAATGAAAATGTCTTTGAATGTGACTCGGTGTGGTATTGTAGTATCGAAGTACCACCCGCATGTTACCCATGATATCCTCACAACCGCAAAAAAATACTACACAGAGGATCCTCCTCTTTCCCACCCCATCGGGTAGAGAACCTAGTATTGTGTCGCCCCATATAAGGGAATCCAAGACAGTATTGGATTTTACATTCCATGCCCTGGATTCCGGATTCCGGATTCCGGATTCCAGTCTTTGTCGGTGAGACTCAGGATTCCTTGAGCTGTATTTCTGATTGCAAAAGCCAAGGTTTCCGATTGCACAAGCAAAATTTTCCCGGATTCCGGATTCTACAAGCAAATATTTTCAAGATTCCGGAATCCTGATTCCCTTACATGGAGCGACTTGTATACCATTTAATGAAAGAAGGCTGCTCTCAGGAGGAGCATCAACAGCAACACGACATTGGATATTTTGAGAGCAACACCATCGGTTGTAACAGGAGGCATAGTCTTTGGCTCGCCAAAGCTGGCTTTCATTTGGCGGCCTTCGAGAGGCTGAACGGGGCGGTAATTGTCAACAATGTTTTCGGAGTTGTTGTACTTCATGGAACGCAGCATATCCAGCTGTAAAGAGAAAAAGAAAATGGGTTTCATTTCTCCACCAAAAGATGAAACCTGGATCTTTCCACCCTCAGATAGTCCACTGATTGTGCGCGAGAAGTGTTTGGATTTAGCCAATGAGAGGAACGTATTTAAAGTGTGCGGGTTCACCACGCAACGCGTAGTCATCGAGTTTCCTGAGCGCACGCCAGATTGCCCAGAAACGAAAGCTTTCAGCAGTTTTTCCCACCAAAAACGCATTGCAATACCCATGACGAGGGGAAGAGATGAGAAATTTATCTGGCCTTAAAAGGATTTGTCGCTCTCATGCCGAATCGGTGCGCTGTTTTTTGGTTTGTGAGTTGAGACTGCACACAGTAATTTGCCTTGCTTCGTATTCAGTGTAAGAAAACAACACTGAACAAACAACGAGCCGCAAAACCGTGTAAAATGGCCACAAACTGAGCCCAGGTTACACAGAAAAAGCATCAACAAACCCAAGTTTACGTAAGTGAAATTTATTCTATATTTGTGTCTATATTTTTTACCTTTTAACCTGACTATAATAGATTTCTCATACAAAGCCTGTAAATCATTCGTATTATGCAGATCAGTATCATGAAAACAGGCGGTAATTTATGCACCGAACTTTGGCTACCTGTGGAACGCTTACACTTTTTAATTCTTGCATACTAATTATTACGACAAATTTCTCCAAAAAATGCTTCACGTGAGAGATGTTGCGAAGGGAAATCTTCGTGTGTATGTTTGGTTATAAAACATCTTGATTCCCTTACTAAATTCAAATTAATGTTTGAGCCAATCACAAACAAAGATCAGAATTCTTCGTAAAGTGACTCAAAATGTATCCTGTTCACAGAAACTCCATTTTCTCTTCAAAGTCCGTGGAGCGCGCGTGATAAAATACAAAAATCGCGCAAGGGAGTAGGGGTGGGAAAGGAGAAAATAGACTTTAATTTTATTTCTCGCACTTCGCACTCGTTCTCGCACGATCGCTTCGCTTGCGCGCTCGCCGATGTTTTCGAAAAGAACGAAAACTAAAAATAAAAGAGCGTCTTTTTACAGGCTAATTAAAGTGTAGCAATAACGCAAATCGGGGAGTTTGAGTTTGTTGACCAGCGGGTAGCAAGTGTGGCTGTTGTATTTCAAAGGGAGAGGGTGGCGGGAGGGGGGGGGGGGGGGGGGGGGGGGGGTTTGTTTTTTACGTTAATAAAGGGGTGGAAAACACCACAACGGGGGGGTTTGGGTTTTTGGAGCGGGGGGGGGAGATTGGGGGTGTTTCTTTTTAAAAGGGGGGGGGGGGGGGGGGGGGGGGGGGGGGTTAGGGTGGTTGTATATTCAGGTTTTTTATTGACGGTTATGGTCTGCGAACTAATTTTGGGGTCCCCCTCTCTAGAATACCAGACTGAGTAACTTAAAAAAGACTCTCTAAAAGTTTTAAGGTAAAATTTGTGAGCCAAAAGTATTAAGCGCGAAAGAAATGGGAACGTTTTCTTTTCCTAAAAGAGGCTTCAGTTTTAATATTGCCCTGTACAATTTCTTGTCTGTCCAATCCCCACAGGATGACAAGCCAATTGAAGACTGTTAGTTTTAAACTAAGCACCTACTTTCTTTAGACAATTAACATACTCTTTGGCTACTTATATGCATGTAAGTCACAAAAGAATTCGATTTTGAGAATATCAAGAAAATACCAAGAAAGCAGCTACTGACCAGAGGGAGAAAGTATTTTTTGTGTCTCAGTTTATTGCGATGATAGGGAAACAAGATTAATCGCTAACTCGTTTCCTGAGGGACCTGTCATTCAACAATTCGACAGCAATCAGATTTTCATGGTCTGTACTCTTATCTACCATCAGGAGCCCAAACCTCAAATGGAACAACAAGCTGCAGGCGAATAGTTTCAATGCAACACTTCAGCTTAAGTGCTTGATGGCCTCGACAAAAGTGGAACAGGAGCTGTATTGAAGCGTGAGCCCATAACCCGGAGCGTGCAACTCACAGATCAAGATATTTTTAGTATCAATTTTGATCAGTTTTCTAGCGTAAGGCAGATGAGCGTAAAGGAAAGGACTGTTCTGTATGCGTGCGCATCCATAGTACGATATAGTTACAAAAAGAAGAAGTAAACGCTGAAAACATCACAAATACATTTTTCCAGTCTCTGGTTTTTGATGACTGATTTGTTAAACTTATTTGATATTCAAAACCTTTGCATGATCACAGTAAGAAATAAGCGTTGACAGGCCAAACACGACTCATTTCGAGCACTATTACACTTTGCACTGGAACTCTCAGACGAACTTGTCACCAAGGGAAAGAAAAAGAGAGAGAGCGCTTCCAATGATCGTGATGTTTAACGTACTGAACATCGTAAGATAACTTTGACTGAGTAAATCTTGTTTTCGCCGCACTAAGTCTTATATTAAGAGGTCATGAAATAAGTTTGTTACATGCATACTGAGTAATCATTTCCTGTGGTTTATGCTTCTGTAGGTGTCCCTGATAGGATTTGATTTCAGATGCAGTTATAAAGTGTTTTATATTCTTTGACCTCTGTTTATTACGGCTGAATAAAGATTTTAGTTTTTTTTGATTTCTCCGAAATGACTGTATCTGATTAACTACATGCTTGCATGCAAGTTTGTTTGTCCGTGAATGTGATTATTTCCTGCCATATCAGTATGACTCTGGGCCCAGCTCTATAGTGTGGTTTGCAGGGTTTTGAATTTCCACGGATAGTGCGATCTTCAGATTTGAGTTGTACACTGTAGCTTAAACTAAGCTCGCTCCGGGTTATTGGCTCCTGATACAAGTAAGAAAAACATAAATGAACCAAGGAAAACCCCTGTCCAAAAACAAGAAATTGTAAGTTTTACCTGAGCCTGCGATATCTTGACAGTATCGTCGAAAACAGTCCAGGTAACAGCCTCACTGCAGGGCGGGGTTGTCAGGGAGCCTGGGTACCGGAAATACTTGGTCATGTTGGTTGGCAGGAGATCCATAAGGTTAAAGGCTGAAAAGGTTGTGCTGTTACCTGTGGATCGAAAGACGAATTGTGATTTGAAACACAATTAAACAACTTGCAAGATATATGAAATACAGTATGAGTATTTTTGTCAAAAGAAAAAACAGCAATACCGTGCAACTGGAAGGATAAAGATGGGTTAAGCAAGAGCACAAATGGTTAGCTTTTTTAAAAACTCCATGTCTTAAAAGCAAATAGAGTGCCAGTCACATTCAATGTGCATATTACACATCTATTCAACGACCTGCCACAACGAATTGCAGTTAATTAACCTCGGAATACCATCGTCCACAGTTGGGACATTTCATCGCAGGAGAGGCGTTTGCCGCTAGTCTCATAAATTACGCGAAGAGTCCCAGCAACGAGGAGTCATGATGAGAGGTGGCTGTATTTTCATGCTATCATTCGGGCATTCGCGAAGCATCCATTCTTAGTTTTTCCATTTAGTTGTTTCTCATCTCGAGTGTGAGATACTTTGAAACCAAACGATTCAGCGTGGGGTCAGCCTTAAACTATCTCGGAAAAAACTCCTCCTTTACGAGAAAATTTTGTTTTGAACGCCACAGAAATGATCGAGAACGCTCCAGCTCGTTTATTTAACATTAGAGACCTTTAGATTCTAAGACGGGAACGACTACGAGCTAGTACGAGATTTGACTACAGGTTTTTTTTTGCCTCAAAAACTGTAAACACCCCGAAAAGCTTCATTGTACTTTTTTTTTCACCAGAAAAGTTAGCTCTGTTAGCTTTATTGAAGGAGGTTAAACCCTCTTCCGGTCGTAAAATGACAAAACCTCTAACATTTTTCATAACTCGTTTCCGCCACTACGCCGACATTTCTTGCAAAAACTCGTATTAGAATGGCGACGACTTTCTCGTTTTTCCGCCAAAATGACGCTGGTTCTTGCACAAGCACTGCTTAGTATTAATTCTTGCAGTCGTCCTCGTCTTAGAGGTATCTATTACTTTCAGAGCACAGCATTCACAAAATGTCAGGATACTTCCTCCCAATGATCCCACGTACCTTTGTACATCACATGGCTGATCTGATCCAAGAACTTTTTATAGTACTGATTTTCGCTTGCGCCAACCTAACACCAGTTTAGAAAGCAATAAGAAAAATAATTAAAAAGAAAAATTTAGTGCCTTGATTTCGCTTTGAATTTCACACCTTTTGACATGTCTATATAACAGACCTGATTGTCGGCGCCTGAGCCAAGCTAACATTTAGAAAGTAATGAACAAAACAATGAATATTTTAATGCCTTATTAAATTATGCATCACGCTTTTGATGAATAACGACCTTTCTTTATTACAAACTATTCCACATTCAATATTAGAAAATACTAATAAGTGGGGTACTATATATCACAGGATATTTACCTTGATTAAGTCATTTTTATGTCACGTTGAAAAAGGAACAACTTTCGACTAACTTGAGGTGCAAAAATGAAGCATAAGTACGCGGCTTTCGAATTGATTTCTTCAAATATAAACTCGCGCTTTTTTATATAACAAAATTGATGCTTTTGCCACTCAATGTAAGGAAATCCGAAATATTCTTGGATTATGGATTCGACTCCGTGAATTCCGGCTAGATTCAGGATTCTTTGTCAGTGGAACAGGAATTCTGGATTCCTGAATCGATAATCCTTTAGCTGTGCTAACCGGATTCCAAAACAAAAATTTCTTCATTCCAGATTCCACAAGTAAAAATTTCCCGGATTCTGGAATGGGGATTCTCTTGCATGTAGAGACTTTTGGGAAGAAGTATGGGTTAGGAAAACAAAACTGAGAGTGAAAGGATGCGTTACCTCAATAAAGACACCGAGGACGGCCAAACCATCAGAATGAGGCAGTGACTCACCGATGTCTGGGTATTTAGTGTTATAGCTGACAAAATGAATCTGCAAATTGAAATGAGCTCGTTAGTCCTGTGCAGGAAGCTTTTATAAAGATCTGTCCGGTCCACAAGTAAACATGGTGGCGCCCCGGAAACGAGGAAAAGCGCAAAGATCCACCTTTTTAAAGAATTGGTTCAGGCTTAGCGTGCGTATATAGAGGATATTACACGGTGGCGCGAAGATATGAATTTTATTTTCGAGTAGCAAAACAATTTTTTACGAACGAGCGCAGCGAGTGAGTAAATATTGTTTTTGCCACGAGAAATAAAAAATCCATATCTTCAAGCCGCCGTGTAATGTTCTTTTTATTATATAGACAAAATGACATCGATAAAATAATAGAGGGAAATTACTAAAATTACGTGATCGATAAACTCACGTGTGAGATTATGGAAAATAAACCACTCGGGTCCCGGATGTAGTTTTTATGAATTTTACGAGTGGTATATTTTCCAGTAAAACACTCGTGTCTATATGATAAATCGAGTTAATGCATTCGGGAAGTTTGGAGAGCACGAGAGAAGATAAGAGCTGTGAGCGACCCTAGCTCCTTGAGTGCTCTCCAAACTTTCCAAGTGCATTCATTACTCTATATATACAGTCGAATCTCGGTAACTCGAACCCTCTATAACTCGGACCTCCCGTTAATTTTACTACCGCAAAGCTTAAAGCATGGTCTAATTTTTTTTTAATAACATACTATAACAATTCTCTTAACGCGCGGCACAGAAATACAAATGCTTTAGCTGATGCTTCAGTCTATTGGTTGGTTTAAAACACGCCTCAATCGTCTAGATTGAAAGAAAACCTTTTTTTAATCTGACAGTGAAAACGACAATGAACACTAAGCAGAAACAAAGGTACCTAAAGTTAAAATACTCAAACGTTCGTAAGGAGGTGCTGAGTTTGGTTTAGATTCGTTGAAATGATGTTTATGCTCTGCTTGGCGAAATCCAGGAAACTCATGTTTGAGCCGAAGACGACTGTCATCCCAAGTTACATTCATGTGCGAAAAATGGAAGTAGTCTCACATATTCTGATCATTAAGGATTTTTTACGACTTTGCTGCGGTTTTTTTGTGAGTAAAGAATTTATGTCTTTTGTGTAATTTGTCTTTTTTATTGCAAGAGCCTTGAAAATTTTCGCCATTACTGTATAATTAACTTGTTTGATCGGAGGCGATGGCTGTACTTCAGTATTAGGTGGATTTAAATTTTGTTAAGGAGTCAATCTAACAATAGGATCACTTTGATTAATTCTTATTCGTGTGATTGTCTTAAATAATCCGGCGCCGTTTACTCAACAAAGGCAGAGCGAAGCAAAACCCAGTTGCGACTTTAGCACATAGAAGCGTTTTTCCTTTTTGTCCTTTTTATGGCTATCGTTTCAGCTTTTACCAAGGTAATTACTGACATGATACAAAGCTTAACGCTGCCACATATAGCATCAAACATAACACACCTCGGCAGGATACATCATCCCGTCCACAGTGTGTTCCGATCCCCGGTAGTTGTTTAATCCCCAGTGCAAGTGAAACTGAACGGTGGTGTAAACTCCGGGGAGGTCACCTCCGCTTACGTTGTACACATTGCTGTCAAATGATATTTTCAAGGTTGTGCCGTCGTTTTTAGCGGTAAAATTGACACCAGCTTGTATAGTGTCGTAGTTGACAAGTGTAAAACCATCCAGGTTTGAGTCATACATGGCTGCGCAGGTGTTGATGTTTATAGGCGACTGTTTCCTCCCGCTAGCGCATACGCCTCCCCAATTTGCAGGTCCTAAAGAAGAGTTAGAAGGTCCATATGATGCTATGGTGCGCAAATTGGTTATGCGGCGTCTCATTCATAGCAAGCGTTCCCTTGCAAGGAAGGGACGAAAGTCTAACTAAGGGAGAAGGAGGGATCTCGTGGAAAATGAAACCAGAGGATGTGCGGCATAATTCAGTATGAAAATCTTATTTTTACAAGTGCTCGGATTCCTTTGTTCTTTTCAGGGGAATATCCTAAATTAGTAAAATCCAGCTAGTGGTCTATTATCAAGGCTGCGTTCTGATTGGTTGAGCTACTACTAGCCTATATGTTATAGCAGGCTCCTGGTTATAGCCCACTAGTAGCGAAAAGCGCCGGCTTTTTTACGGCAAAAAAGGATTAAAGTCTAGCTTTAACTTGCTAAAATTTTTTTATTCTTGATATTTTTTACCAACTATTTGGATTTTACTAAAACAATTTTCGGCCGAATGGGCTATTGACTCCGAAGTTATTAGGTGCGGGAGGAATAATTTTTAATAACCCCCAAATTAACTGTCTGAAAAGCGAGTGGGTGCGGCTTTGATTGTGTTAAAGGAAGAGCGGGGCTAATGAACAGCTAATAAAAATGGGAGGAGATCATGGGGAATAAGTCACTTATCCGCCTTGCATATTAATACACAATCCCCCCGCATTTTAATTAGTTTTTCGCGAAGAACAAATTTAGGAATGTTTACTTGGAAATATTAAACACGACGCTACAGTTACTATACAATTACGCTACAATTACAATTATTACAGTGCCAGCAAGGTATATTGAAAAACAAAAGAAAGGAGAACCGGTTATAGGGACATTTTTCTTCATCGTATTTTTGCACCCCTTAAGGAAGCCTCGCGCGGTAGACACCATAACAGTATACATGTATATTTTTGTTCCGCAAAGGTCTGGTTGATGCCTGGTAATTCATATGAGGGACGCCATTTTGGATTTACCTATGCCGCGCGCTCGGCTCACGGGTAGATGCTAAATCCCCTGCTAAATCAAAGTTAACTATAACCTGGCTCGTCAGTTTCGTGTGAACACAGAGAAACTATTGAACGGTTACGTGTGAAGGGTCCGGTCACTGAGAGTTTTCAGCCGTCCGTAAATTCGCCCGATGCCTCGTGAACGAAGCGTATAAAAAAAGGCCAAAAAAGATCCGACAACATTGACGCCAATGAAAGCGTCGCTGAAAAATAGACTTCGCGTCCTTTCAATTTTTTTTTGCCCTCATACCAACTCACCCAGTTACTTAAAAGTTGGGAATTTAGTTTGGAACTGAAGAGAGGGGACCCGTGCACCCGAGTTCAGAGAGAAACAGTAAGATTTATCCTTTTGCCGTTCCCGTTCTCAAGTCAACTCAAAATTGGGTCATTTCACGTCGTAGTTGTGCAGGGGCGGCAAAGAAATGTACAAAAAAGCGTGTTGCCCGTGCAGAGTTGTTGTTTCCCGTTGCCTTTGCCGTCGTAGTGTCCTATGCCTGGAAGATATAAAAGTGAAACCCATCGAACAGCACATACCCGTATAGCAAAAACAAAGTTATGTACCGCTCTCCCGGTTAAACGGCATTTTTATATTTGTTTAAAAAAGAGACCCTTGCTGGCAGCGACCGATTGTCTTTGCAAAGGTTATTTCACCGCATGAAAACAATACTGAATTTTTTTGTTTTAGGTCGTTGATGATGGATGCACTAAGATGATCTCAGATGGGACCATTAAAGTGGTAAAGAGGTATATTTCAGTGCGCAGTTTCGGAGCAAAGACGAACATGTACAGGTACTAAAAACAAAGTAGAAAAAAATATAGAGTACCATTTGAAGGATTTCGATAATAGCTCCATTCTAGAAAAACAACAAATATTACAGTCAAAGTTTGAATTAAAATGATGAATCAAGATTAACACTGAATTACTTTGTCATAACCATAGTGACAACAGGAAATAAATATATAAACTTTATAATAATAACAATAATAAGGGAATAATAATAATGATGATGATACTAATACTGATAATCATCATCATCATCATCATCGTCATCAGTCTATCTACACACTACAAGTTTACAATAAAATTCAACAAGTATGTTGAGCATGATCGTCCGGGTAAACTTAGTCCTGCTGAATAGGACTGTTGTTAACAGTGACTGACGTTTCGACAACCTATGTGGTAGTCATCTTCAGACTAAGGGAGTTGAGTTTGTTCTAAGTTAGCAAACCACCTTTCTAAAGTGAGCCGTTGATAGTATTCTGCAGAATATGTAATACATGTCGCAGAGTCCCAGTCGATTTAATGTTTGGTCTGTAAATGGTGTTAAGCAATGTGATTGTTGACGTCACCATTTCTTGTCGCTCGTTTGTGTTCAGTCAGTCGCGTGCTAAGGTTTCTGTCGGTTTCAGGCAGACAGGGAGCAGTATACAAGAACAAATGCTGCAACTGCCATGCCACTTACATTGGTGAAATCAGTACCATAGAAATTTACAGAGAACTTGAATAAAGGACGCACAGTACAATCTTCCCCAGTTATTCTACTGAGGACCCTGAATATTGGCCCTGGAAATGAAGCCTGCGTCGACTTTCCGTACTTCAGGCCAGCGATCTATCAATTAAACTATTCCTGCCGCAATGAATCATGAAATATTGAATGTTTGTTTTGCCTTAGAGTTCATGCACTCACTTACCTTCCTGCGCCAATGCAAAGGACACTCCAGCGATTAAGCATACAAAAGTCAACAAAGTCTTAGCCATGACTGTTGGCAATAATTTTCCTGAAAGAAGGAAGAGCAGCACAACTAAGACTATATCTCGTGCTTCGAGTTGGAGGCATTTGGGTGCGTTATTATTCGGCATAATTTGCTTCATAACATGCTTGCTTCAGTGGTGCCCACAGTAAAGGTCGATTACCGAGATCTGAGCCAATTAACCCCTTAAGCCCCACAGTCCACGAACAAATTCTCCAGACTGATCTCCATACATTTCTTTTAAGAATAGTTGAGAGAATTTCGTTTAAGATCATAGCATTCTCCTTTTGGTAATCAATTTAGTAATTCTCCTAACCTTTACTTTTGATGATCCGCTGATGTTGTTAGGAGAAAATTGATGTTGGTCAATCTTGGAACCCAAAGGGTTAAAGCCTTTGGTGGATGTCATACCCCTGTCCATGGATCTGATTTCATCCCCCTTTTTCACAGCTGTGTCATTCCCAGTCCTTTCTCAGTCTCCAATTAAGATTAACGAGAGACGAGCGGTCAAAGGGAAGCGCGAGGGGTGATTCGATGGACGAAAGAGGGGAGACTCTCCCTTTCGTTTCCCTCCTTTCTATCACCCCTCGTGCTCCCTTTGGTCACGCTTCTCGCGTTCTGTCCCCGCGTGCGATTCCCGCATCCAAATAAAGACGTCTGGGGAATAGCCCAGTGTCCTCAGGGTCCAGAGAGTTTACATTTGACAATCGCTTATTTGGATCAAGTTATCATCTCGCGTCACAGTTTCGTTACCCAACAAACAAACAACAGGCCCAAGGAACGATAGCCGTAGTTGCAGCCGGCCCACACACCGTCTAAACCATTGGTTATACAGCGGTATACAGCGGCTTAGAGTGTCTGCCACATAGGCTAGAGGAATGAGAGCTCGTAAGATGCCAAGTTCGGCTTATAGTAAACAACACTCTCTTATACTCGGCACTTCTTGCCTCGCTCGGAAAGCCTTGCATTCCGCCGTTGCTCTTCGAGTAACAGTTTTTGTTTTGCCCGAGGTTTTGTGCTCACGAAGAAGCTCGAAGAACTGGCTAGCGTTTGACTTGTATACAGGAGATATGGACTCGGTAATCTTTTTAAAATGGATTCATAACGAAAGATCAGGAATCGGGATTATTAGATATGCCAAGCTATAAGGATATATATTTTACAAGGTAAGGCGCTAAAAAAGTAATTCATTTGTTCAAAATGTGCCGCTGGGAACCCTGTGTTGACGTGTGCCTTGTTAGATCTGTAAGTTGTGGTTAAATTTTGTCCTGTTGTAAATCTTAGTATTTTGGGGGGTGTGGTACTGTGTACTTATAAGCTTAAACAAAGAAAAAATAAAATTTAAGCCAAGGATAAAATTGAACCAAAGCAGTTATAACTCGCGCTGGTTGATTTTACGAAGGCTTTAAGTAAGGTCACCGGTAAATTATACCAAAAGACGTCGCTGTAGTCAAACCATGATTAAATCAGTAATCCTGGCGCGAAGAGAAGCGAAAAAACGAAACCAGTATAAAGGTTTCGGAATCGAACGGACAGACATCCACTCTGTCTTAGTGACATTATTTGTCATTACGTCTGGTGACCACTGCGTTATCTTTTAAAGGTTCGAATTTAACCGCTCAGTAATATAATTTGTCTCTCCACTACCTGAGGTGGCGAACCCGATGTGGTTAAATTTATGTCATTTGCATAAATTTTTGGAGCAGAATTTTGCAATAGTTTGGTAAGTCATTCATATTATAACATAACATTATTAAAACAGAGGACTCAAAATAGAACCTTGCAGTACGCCACATTTCAAATATCAAGATAATGATAACTCGCTATTAACAAAATATTTTTGTTATCATCCTATTAAGTATGATTTGGACCATTCAAGTGACTTAGAATTACACACATATCCGACATTTCGATACTCTTGTGCAACAATACGTCATGGTCGACTACATTAATGGCGTTAAAAAAAAAAAAAACATTGCAAGTAATATGTCAGAGTTTAAAAGGTCTACGGTCTATGGTTATCAGCAGTATCAACCAATAGTTAATTTGTCGGATCTAATAATCCAGCCTAACCCTGGCGCTGGCCTAATAGGCGGTCCAGCATCAAACTACTAACAATGTATCATGTTCGTTCAAATGAGAATAGGGCTGGTTTACCTACCACAGAATAGGACGCACATAAGAGACAAAGATATGATGTAGGACGGTGACTGTTCAAATCAACTTCTCTCATTTGCCAAATGAATCAGTGGGATTTCAGCTAGCTTTAGAGCAGACGTAAAAAAACTTTTCTGAACTAAATCGTTAAAATGGCTGCCAGAAAGTAAATATTGTCGAGGACAGCCTCTTTTAATAGAAAACGTAAATTCTAGAAGCTTTCTACGATGACAAAGTTAGCTCTACGGACTACGCAATCAAAATCTACAGGGCCTGACTGAATAGCAATGGGCTTCAGTTAGGACCAACGAATGACTGTTTAGTGCTTATTGAACAGTTGAAAGTCGGCGATCGTACCATTAATCTGTTTTATTTTTTAGAAAATCATGTATGCAACTGCTTGATACCGGTAGATATACAAGAGGTCAGGTATGAGTAAATGATTCTTTTAAAGCTGGTTTGTTATCTTTCGAATTCATCTCAAAACAATAAGTCGATTTACATAAAAAAGTTTATTGGACCACATATATATGGAAATGATCTGCTGCCTTTAATGTGCCAATTAAAATTTGTACCTCTCACTAACTGAGAGCGAGGCCAGATTATTTACCTCGCTCGTTCATGGAATTGACTGAGTTTAGAAACATAGATCAGAAATTCTAACATCTTGCAAGGTTGATTATCATCACAAAGACAGAAAAAGAAAACAGTTAAACATACCGCGCGCCGACTATGCCAAATTCTTTTGCTTTGCTTTAAGCTTTAAGGGTCAGGAGAAAAATAAAATAAATGAAAAAGGTTATTACATATCGCAAGCTGGAGTTTCTTTTCTTGTCCGACCTAAAAGTTAAAAATTCCAGGTTCAAATTCAAAAGGAAGTATTTACTGTGAAAACAATAAGTTCGCTATTCACTATTTTTCCTATTTTATCTTACGATTCTAAGTCCCTCGGGCGGATACACCCCGCAACATATTTTAACCTCAAGTAGCCTTTCACCTCAGCACCGCATTCTTAGTGGTTCTTGAAAAGTTTGCACACACCCAAAATTAAGCTGCGTGAAAGTGATTTATAACATTTTCAATTAAAACCTGGTGACGTAGCCAGTATAAAAATGACTTCTTTGCGGTACTTCAAAAGGCGACCAGGTGTGTTACGTAATCAGTAATGAATGCGCTTAGTTGAAGCTGTGGCTGTAGCACAAAGGATCTGGCCGGTTAATGGTGCTTATCAAAAAGCCTGTCCGAAAATGCTTTAAAGAGCCACATAATGAATTTACCTATTCTCTGTGTTTCGGTTTTTGCACTGAAGAAATACTTTTTAGACCAGGGTTTTTTATGGGTGTGAACGCGAAGTTTGCAGGCGAGTTATTAGGAAAATTTCCACTGTCTCTTACAGTCTTGAGTTTTGAAACGGCCCTGCTTCTTTGCTCATTTATATTTTCCCGCCGATCAATTTTGCACTAAAAAAAAATGAATAACTTTATGGATAACAGGCAAAGTTAATGCCTTGTTGCCCGTAGTCATGAGTTCATTTTTTTGCAAGATCGGGAAAAAAAAGCCTTTTACACCAACGGTTTTTTTTATTGGTGTGAACGCGAATTCTGCGGGCGAATCTTTAGGAAAATTCCACCTGTCCCACAGTCTTAAGTTTTGGAACGACTCTTCATCACTGTTGATTCATTTTCCGCAAGTCAGTTTGCATCGAAAGGGAAATAAAGAACTTTCTGGATTGCAGACAAAATTGATGCCTCGTTGACCGTAATCATGAATCATAAATTATTTCCTGCACCCAGTCAGCCATCACGAATCAGTCACGTTCCACTTTATCAAGAGTGGACAGACCTCTTTTACGAAGCCTTCCTTTTGCAAGTTTAAATATATGGACATTACATTTTTCATCCAGAAAATTTCCTGAAGACGGGCCGAGTCATACTCTTGGAGCCTTGTGATTTTATGAATTCGCTCATTGTTTAATCATGAATGAATAGCTTTTCAAATGATCTGCTCGTGTCTCCTTTGGGCCATTTTTAAAATTTTTGTCTCTAAATTTACAAATCTGCCATGGTAAACTTCCAAATATGTATAAAAGTAATCCAAAGGGTTGAAAGGACGAATATTCATAGCATAGAAATGCTAAGTAAAAAGTAAATTTCTACTTCTCTGCCTTGGTTTTTTTTGCAACAGACTGAATCAATTAATATTCAAACTATTTAATTGAATGTTAAACAATTATTAATTTCTATTTTTTCGGGGATAACAGGTGAGTTGTTAAATAAAACCGTGTAATGTCTGAAATATATACCGCCAGTATACAGCACAGGGTGGATATAGTTAAGTTTACCCCGATCTCCAACCACAAATCAACTGATTATGCACAGTTCGCGGAGTCAAAAGTTATCTGAGGCGTGAGTGATTATCTATAAGGCTAGTTAACGTTTGCATACAAACAGATCTCTGGAATAGAGTGGTTATAGACAAAAAATCCAACAAACAAACGAACAAAACGAAATATAGAGTCAGTCTTGTCACCGAATCCAAAAACACAAGGTTCTGGCGATCAGCTAGCCTATCGCTTGATTGACTCTTACGTCAGTAACATTTGGAAAACGCAGAAGACACTCCTAAATTTAAGGTAGCTATCTGCTTATGCTATGGACCAGGAAGTTTAGAACTCAATATTGCAAAATGTAGGCTATTAATGAGGGGAAGCCGAGAAAATTCTCACCTTTTTCTTGGAGTTGAACACGTTGATGTGACTTGTTGGAACTACAAACCTGAGGGGCGTTAATCCAATGACCGCTAGTTTGTTTTAATTGATCCTTTACCTAGTAGGGGGCTCGTTTCTAAGTG